ATGGACATGAGAAATCAAGTACAAATCATATTAAATTAAAAATTGATAAAGAGAAAAGAATGAAAGAGTCGGAGAAATTGAATGAAGAATTGAGCACTTCGAAATTCATCGAGCCAAAGTTGGACGTGATGAAGAAGAAAAGAGTCAAAATAAAAAGTCGTTGCTGAAGGAAAGAATTGAAGATCATCACCGACTTGAAGGAAATTTCCAGAATTCTGTGGCTATTTTATCTGGTATTTTAATTTGGTTATTGCTTCTAGAATCATGCATAAGTGGTGCCAAGAAGGAGAAAGTTCTAGACAAGCTGGTATATTATTTCTACCACCAATTGCAAGAATAATCTAGAATTATCAAGACCATCTTCACCGCCATGCTAGAAGCTTCAACCACCGACCATTTTTGCTTATATATATGTGTGTTTGCTGTATGTATTGCATGTGTGTAAGTAGTGTGAGAGAAAGTGCAAGGAAAGAGAGAATAGTGCTAGTAATATAATATTAGAGAGGTGTACTAGTGGGGAGTGTCATCAATTTATTTAAAATCTATTTCTTCTAAAATAAAATTTTTTTTCATTTTGGGTTTTAAACTCAACAAATATGATTATATAGTAACTACAATTGAGAAAAGTAAAGATCTTTCTCTTTTTTTTTTTTTTCCCTTTGATGCACAAGCTCTTTGCAAGCACATGAGGCAAGGCGTAACAGATCAGCTGAGAAAAATGAAGAAAAGGCATTTCAAGCTTCTCAGGTGAAGGGGGAGACAGACAGAAAGTAAGACTCTGCAGGAAGAGGACGTGGAAGAGGAGGCTTTCGTGGCAGAAGACGTGGAAGAGGTAGAGGAAGAGGTCGTTTTAATGGACAAGAGAGGCAATTTGTTGGGGAGCAAAAATGGAACAAAAACTCTATTCAGTGCTACAATTGCAAAAGGTTTGGGCATATAAAGGCACATTGTAGAGAAGGTTCACAAGAAAACTTTGTGGAGCAAGAGAATGACGAGAATAAGTTATTTCTCATTCATTCTTATTCAAATGAAATTCAAAATGATGTTTGGTTTTTGGACAGTGGTTGTTCTAACCACATGACTGGCAATAGATCATTGTTTAAATAGCTGGATGAGTCACAAAAGGTACAAGTCGTACTTGGAGATAACAAGCAAATTTAAGTTGAGGGCAAAGGCACAGTTGCTGTGAAGACTAGCCATGGTAAAGACAAATTAATTTATAATGTTTTCTTTGTTCCTAATCTTGCTCTTAGTTTGTTAAGTGTTGGACAGTTGATGGCTAGTGGCTATGCAATCTATATATATACATAAACAAAAGTGCCGTCAAAAAAAGTTTCCCGCCAAAATGTACTTTCCTCTTATGGAATTCTGCTTTCAAATAATCTGTCGTCTACCTCAAATCTGTGTTTAATGTTTTCCAAAATTCATTCCGTCTATCCATTAGTCAAACATTCCGTCTACTCATTAGTCAAACATTTACTGATAATTACAGCATGCTTTTATTGATAATAACAATTTCATTTGTTGAGTTTTGTGTTCATTAAATCATTCTTTTTTTTTTAAATGTTTGGAAAAAAATATTTAAAGGGCATGAATGATTAGTTTTTCGTGTAGAGACGTGCAACCTTATCTTCAAGCATTTCAATGATATTTCGAAATAT